ATGGATGTTTCTCTCTCATCGATGTTTCTGTCTATCCCTCTCTCTTCCTCTCTGTAAAAAATCAATAAAATATATTAAAAAAAAAAGGTGGGTCAGTCGGATGGAACATTGTCCCCAACACTGAAAAGGTTGCAGGTTCAATTCCCGGTCAGGGGGAGCGTGTGTGTGTGTGTGTGTGTGTGCGCGCGAGCAACCGATCAATGTTTCTCCCTTTTTCTCTCTAAACTTATCCTTGGGTGAGGATTTTTTTTTTTTAAATCACATCTCCACAGGCAGGAGTAGACAGGATGGGGAGACTGATGGGCCGATGATGGGGGGGTACAGGTGCGGGGAGGGGGTGGAAGTGGGAACCGCACACGCTGCCACTCTGGGAATTGGTTTGTCAGTTTCTTAAAGCTACAAGCTCACTCACCACATGGCCCAGACCCCCTAGGCCTCCATCCAAGGGGATTGAAAACACATGTCCACACGGATCTGGTCCGTGAGTGCTCACAGCAGCTTCATTCATTACAGCCCCGAGTGGAAGCAACCAGTGCGGGTCCGCGGGTCCGCGAGGTTTGGAACAGCCGTGGAGGGACGGCGGGCGGCGCAGCAGCCACAGGAGATCACGGGTGAAACGGCGCCAGACACGTCTCCGAGGGCCGTGCTCAGGGGGAGCGGCCGGCACAAGGCATTCCACTCTATCTGCTCCCATTTCTATTTAAAAACGACATATTTCATTGATGTCAGAGAGGAAGGGAGAGGGAGAGAGAAACATCAATGATGAGAGAGAATCATGGACGGGCTGCCTCCTGCACGCCCCCCACTGGGAATCGAGCCCACAACCCGGGCCTGTGCCCTGACCAGGGATCGAACTGTGACCTCCTGGTTCCTAGGTCGACGCTCAACCACTGAGCCACGCCGGCCGGGCACGTGGACTCCTTTTTATTTCCATGCCCATGCGGAGGCGTGGCAGGGAGTCCCCAGCCGGCAGGGACCAGGACAGGAAGCCTGGACCCCCCAGTCCTTCGGGACCTTTTATGGAGAAAGGGTGTTTGCAGACGTGATTAAGGATCCGGAGGGATCACCCTGGATTCGCCGGGTGAGTCCTGAGTCCCGTGACCAGTGTCCTGACAGGACGGAGGGGACGGACAGGGAGCAGGGCTCCTGCGCGGGATTGTGGGGTGTGTGCGTGTGGCCCGGGCGCGGAGTGGTGTGCACAGCGTGGGGTGGGTGCGGTGTGCGCAACGTGTGGTGTGCGAGGCGCGTGTTATGCGAGTGCATGTGTTTCGTGTGTAGATGGTGTGTGGGGTGATATGTCAGCGTGTGCCCCGCGGGGTTCCGTGTCCCTCCCTCCCGAGCCCCCAGCTCAGGGCTCAGAGGACAGCGGGACCCTCACTCAACCGGGGCGAGCTGAGAGCGGCGGGTAACCATGGCAACGGATGCTCCTGCAGCCCGGAGAGGCCGGCTGGCTGGGTGGGGGTGAGCGCT